GGCCATGGGGGGGGGGGGACAAGGGCGTGCGGCGAGCCCGTCCGCGCGATGTCCGCTTTATCCCAAATTCGATGCAAGTTTGGGCTGAGATGAGTCGAAAACGAACGGAATCAGAACATTTGTCCGTTTGAGGCCACGTGTTGGGCCGCGCTATTCGTCCGTTCTACCCCAAACGGACGCATCCGGATAAGATGGGGTCGCGCGATGGAGTTGGCCTTATTCCTGAGATTGAATGATCAGCTCGTGGAAGACTTGCATGGGCGTGTTCACTCTACAAAATTTTGCAATTTAGAATTTATGCTACCTCTTGTTGACGCACAAAATCTATTCCTAATAATAATAATAATAATAATAAAGCACGGATTGACTTCGTGGGTTCACCGTCATAATACGCTTTTTTTGTGAATTTACGCTTTCAGTTTTTTTTACCTATATTATTTTCTACATCCGAGGTGGTATTATTCATGTATTCATGTGATCATATGACCCGCCACGCACGACTGTTCCATTGTTCCATTATTCCACGCACGACTTTTCCGTTGTTCCTGTTATTAATCAGGAAGAAGCGTTTTGGTACGTAAAAAAAATTTCCACGAACAGGAAAAAGGCGTTGATCAAGGACACGAGACGGAACCGAGTCGACGTCCATCGAGATCAATCTACCACGCCTACATATAAAAACAGGAGGGGAGGCGGCGGCCAGAGGTAAGGGACGAGGAAGTGCCCAGGGCGGCGGCGGCGGCTGGAGCTTGGAGGGGCCGGATCCGTGCGCGTCAGGGGCTGGGGAGGCGGATTCGAAGGTGGGCGGCGCGGCGGTGTCGCCGGTGACGGCGAGGAAGGCCGGAGCGCGGCTTCTCGGGCAGAAACGAGACAAGGAGGTGAGGAGAGAAGAAGCGACAAGCGACAAAGGAAGGAAGGTGCGACGACCTAGGCAGGAGCTCGCCGGAGCAGGGCGACGACCGACGGGCGCGGCTGACGAAGGGATACGACACGGCGTTGCGAAATCCTTTGCAGGTGCGAGCGGACGACAGCGCCATGAACGGCTGGGTGCGCGACGACGCGGAGCCCTCCTGTCGCTATGGCGCCCCAGTGGAGTGCCCTGAGGCCGCGGATGCTGCTCCTACACAAGGTCAGTCTCCTCTACGTGGTTCTATAGCGCAGCTCCTGTCTCGCACCATGCTGCTGAACTTCTGCCCCTCAACCCCACTGCTCCTCCTAAATTAGCTCAATGGCGTTGACTCTTCGATAGAGGATGGTGTGGTGTCAGGCCAGGCAGCATAACACTCTACGAGTACACGTTCTGCAGGTGGATTCGTACTCTTCCACTCTAATTTCTTGGTTAGAGTCGATGCCCTCATGGTGTTTGACAAATTGCTATTTCTCCACCGCCCCTGCATCAAGCTGCACACCAGGAAGATGGTTGATATTGGGTACAACATATCGCCAAAGTATATGGTTCTCTTTCTCGTTCCTTGTTTCTTGTACAAGTTCATTACTTATTTGTTTACTAATTTTATGTTTCACGATAGACTGATTGTGTTTTGGAATTTCACAATCCCTTCTATCTCTCTGTTATGATTTTGGTTTCTTGCCCTATTGTGCTGATATAGCGGGCTGACCTTAGGTAGTAAAATAAATCATGTCCCTTCCACAAAATAAGAATTTTTTACTGTTACATACTCATCAATGTTACATGATGTGCAGTTTAGAAATTTGATTTCTAGGGGACTTTTACTACATGTCCAGTTATGGTTTCATGATAAAAGGAGCGCACACAAAACATTTGTTGAATCAATACTTGAACAAAATGTATGGAGTTCTTGTTGCGTGCTCCAAGTCATCAACCATGCAAAATAAATCCTATAAGCTGTTCTCACCATACAATCTTTTGAACCAATTTTGTGAAGTTAGTACGATATGATTATTGTTTTTGTAAGCTTCCCTATAGATATATTGGAGCTATGAACTCTGCAAAAGCCACTAAAATATATATGTAGACTTGCATAGAAATAATTAATTTTTAATTGTTATTTGGTGATTATGACTCGCAGCCCTTGAGGCTGAGCAGCCGCCATTGGCTCATGGGTATGGAAGCAGAGTCCGGGATGGCGATGGTGTCAAGGAGGACTCTTGGACGTCCACCGATTGCATCGCTGCTGCCGTACCCATGGAGTGGCGCGGCTCTAACTACTCTGAGATGGTATTCCTCCCTCTTTCTTTCCTAACAGAACTATTCTTGTGTCACCCCCTTCTCTAAATGAAGTACAACCTGCTAGCTACCTGATGGGCACTGCCACTAAACTTGTCAACCGATGCATTGTAGACTCCAACAGTGGTGGGAAGGAATCAGATTCCAATGAAACTAGCACTAATGTGTTTTTACACAGTTGCCTTTTTTGCTAAATTACCTAGCTTCTTCGTGGTAGAGTAGGTACAAAGATACTCTCTGATGAATTTGATTGGTATTGTGTAAAGTAGAAAGCCTGAAATTACTTCGTTGGTAACTGAGTTAACTAATCCCAGAACTAGAAACAAGCAGGTGATCGAAAGATTTGTGGATTGTGAACCTTTTACGCAGTCTTATCCCTAGGGTGCACAACATTTGCTTTTAGCAAAGGGCATCTATTGCTGAGATTCTTACAAATTGCTGGGAGTCAGCGCAAAGTACATGGACGGTGCGATATTTTAAAATTGTGAAACAGCCTCCAAGCTACTTGTGAAGGTGTCAGTTTCTGCATTGATAAAGATTTAATTATACTTCTGGTGGGATTTTTTCTGTTAGCTATCTGTACAAGAGAATGAACTTGAGAAATATTAATTTCTAGATAAATTTCTTTGGAAAGTGAAGCTTCCCCTGAAAATTAAAGTTTTTCATGTCTGGTTTTGAAAAAATCAACATACTAACTAAAGTCAATTTATTCAAACGATGTTTTCAGGGAGATAAAACATGTCAATTGTGTGGTAGAGATGAGATTATTGGTGCAGAGGAATCAGTATTACAACAGAACTTGAAGCTGCCGAAGATGGATGATGTTTGGTTTTGGTGGAAAGATCAAGTGCATATGAACAACCTATCATCTTCCATTTTTGCTTTTCATTATTCAACGGGACAATTTCCTAATTCTTTGTTAGTACTCGCTGGAAAGATTATTAGTATGGATATAGGTTTGTCAAAATTTATTAGCACATGAGATTCTTTGTTCGGACCCCCTTTGGCTCTACATAATTCTTTGGAGTGGGATTCTAGATAGATGCTTATGAACCTCATAAAAAAGTAGTACGCCTTTGATCCTAACTGACTGTTTGTATGTCGGATGATTTCAACTTGCTATGTCCCAACATACTTTTTTTATAACAAAAACTGTAGGAGAAGTCCTAACATTCTACACTTCTGCATTGTATCTTGAAATGTAGCATTTCTCTAGCATTCTGACAAATGGTAGTTTGCAGATTGATTAGTTGGTTCCAGTTCCTTTAGAAGGTACATCACATCTCAGTGATAATTCTATCCCACTACCGAAGAAAAAAATATATAATGGTGATGTTCATTGGTGCTAGGCCTCCAGAAGTGGGTTTGTCGGATTTTCATTTTCTTTGTATATTAAATGTAATGCATATACACTGATATAAAAGCATCATGACACCATACCAAGATTTAAATTTTTGTGGCAGCATGGCTGTGCTTAGTTCAGTTTTTCTTGGTCTACTTCCAGTTAATTCCTTCTTGTGTTGTGGTGTTGGGAAACATACTAATCAGTGACTCCTGGAGCCTGTGGATTTTGGGGAGATGGAGTATGTACTGTGGGTTCATTTTGTTTTCTCCTAATCAAACTCAGGGTGTGTGCACAACTGCAGAATTAAAGAGACTTAGACCGAAAGACAATCTAATACTCCCTGTGTTCAATTTCGTAAGACGTTTTAGACATGAGGGAGTATTAGGTCTTAGTATGAACAAATGCTCAATATCAAACATCGTGAGATAGTTTTTTCTCCCGTTGCAACGCACGGGCCTTTTTTGCTAGTTTTGCTAAAAGTAAACTCAATGTTGGCTAACATTGTCCACATACGGAGGATCTACTTTGACCTTATTGGCAAACCGAAACTTACAAGTAGAGCTTTCACACTATAGTTTCCACGAAATTATTTGATACTAGAACATGAAAGCGCGCTATGCCGCGCCCGCCCATATTGACAACAAATAATATAACTACATGGAAATAAACCCAGTGGGGTACAATCATATGAGAAAAATTGGACAACTTGGACTTGTCAAAATATATGGAGACATGTTTCTGAGATAACAAACGGCTTCGACTTCACCAGTGTCCTACACTACTTGTTGAAAACGAGTTACCTTCAAAAGCTTAAAAACGATAGATCAAGCAATCTCCACTTTAGTCAAGCTATCTTAGCAAAATTATATCCCAAAAGGAGAATATTGGTAAGACATGGGAACTCAACATGTACTCCACGTAATATAATAGTTTCAGGAATACATGGCTCGGTAACATGAACACCTACTTTCAGGAATTAATTGTGCACTTATATACTCTCAAGAAAGGGACACAGCACTTGCAAGAATAAATTGTGTGTACAAAAAATACATAGAAACTTTGGAAAAAATTGTGAAGGAAACAAACATTGGTTCACATCTATGAGATTCCAATAATAAAGGATATAAAACATCAGCAACACTTGATCAGCGCAAAATTCAAATCCAAGCTGGTCCAAATTAGGCCTGACCGAATCCATGGTCACTTGGAGAATTTCATGCAAACAGGAGATAGAAAATATCAAAAATCACATACTATTTCTATGAATTCAGCATGAATTCCAATATCACATAACTATGCATATTCATAATTTAAGTACATGTTCTTGTTCCCGTAAAAAAAGTACATGTTCTTGGCCTTCTCTCACACAAGATTTAAAAATGAACTCACTTTTTCATCACTAAAAACGGAGCAAAAACCTATCAACATGTAGAGCAAGAAAGAACACCCCCGCCATCACCACCCGGAGCCCGCTGAGCCAGTTTTGCCTGAAGCAATTTACAAACAGTGTATATCAATAGCCGAATTACAACTACAGCAGGAATGAAGCTCCCTATCCAGGCTGAGGAAACAAAGAAAAAAGAACAGGATATCTGCAACAAAGGACAACCAACCTAAGGAACAAGGAAACAGAACCCTAGGACATATATCACGCATCTCCACTCAAAGGGCGTACAAGCTGCCTCCACCGCCGCCGTCGTTGCCCCCGCCGCCATAAGGATGAACGCATCCAGCAGCATCTCGTGAGGAAGACGGAAAACATGGGCGACCTCGTTTATCCACTTTTCTGGGCCTATTTACGTTTTCCCCAGTTGGCACGATTAAGGAGCAATCGCCCCAGTTGGTCTGCGGAGCAGCAGCCCAGTTACAGTGGGCCACGCTGGTTGCACGGTGACTGGTGAAAAAACACGTTGCACGCGAGTGGTTAAACGATCAAGAGATCTGGAGCGCTCAGTAGAAGGATCTGATGGTGGACAGGCTCAAAGGCCGTAGGTGGCTCCGTTTTACCGTTTCTCAATTTGGCGTTGTCCGTGTGCCCAAGGGTAAGGGACAACTACGGTCCATAATTTGTGCAAGTGAGCCCCGCATGTTGGTAGAAACAAGATATGACGTTTCATGCTATAAAATTTCCGAAAATTATTTAAAACTAGATACTTTTACATTGTTGCGGAAATATTTTGCAATATATTTGATTGTATGGAACATGAATATTTGGAGTATATGATAACTAAACTCCCTCCGTATCAAAATACAAGACGTTTTTTGACACTATGTATCAAAATATATGTTTTTTGACACTAGAGTGAGTATATGTTTGATTGTCTTTGATTATTATATAGTTGTAAAATATTTATTAAATGTAAATAGCATAATATAATGAAAATTATTATGCGTGTTTGCATGTTGAGATGTGCCTTTTCATATGCGTGATGGAAAATTGTTTAAAACTAGACGATACCTTGCACGTTGTTGTGGAAATATTTTGTAATATATTTGATTGTATGGAACATGATTGATACCCCACGTTGTTGCGAAAATATTTTGTAGTATATTTAATTCTATGGAACATGATTATTTGGATTAATAATATAAATAACTAAAACTAAAAAATGCATATGTTCAATTGTGTTTGATTATCGTATTGCAAAGTAATTACTAAATGTAAATAGCATAGTAGAATGAAAATTCGTATGCAGGTTTGCATGTTGAGGTGTGCCTTTTCTTATGCTTGATTGCATATTGAGGCGAGCCATTTTCCATACATGTTACTTGATGAGGTGGCATGCTTGCATGTTGAGATAAATAGGTTAGCGGAGGCTAGCTATTTAGATATGGAATAGTAATAATATGATATCCAAAACTAAAAATACATATGCTTGATTGTGTTTGATTATTGTATAATTGTAAATATTTAGTTAAATTAAATAGCATAATAGAATGAAAATTCTTATGCATGTTTGCATATTGAGGTGTGCCTTGTCTTATGCATGATTGGAAAATATTTAGAACTAAATAATACCATACAAGTTGTTCCAAATATATTTTACGATATATTTGATTGAATGATACATGAATATTTGAAGTAATAATGTGATAACTAAAATTGAAAATACCTATGTTTGATTGTGTTATACTATTGTATAATTATAATATAGTTACAAAATGTAAACAACATAATAGAATGAATATTCTTATGCATGTTTGCATCTTGAGGGCTACCTTTTCTTATGCATGATTTCATATTGGGTGAGCCTTTTTTCCATGCATATTGCTAGGTGAGGTGGCATGTTTGCATGTTGTGACAAATAAGTTAGTGGGGACTGGTTATTTGGATATAGAAGATAGAAAATATAGGCACCATCCACATGTCAAGGAGCAACTTTGAACTTATTCAAAAATCAGTTCGTGCAAGTGGTCTGATATACTTGTAAAAATGTCTTTCATAAAACGTCTACATTCAAATTATGAACTACATGTTCACACTACAAAAATTTGTCGAAATTGTTGCAAATTCTACATTATGGGCTTATTAGCGAATTAATTCATGCAAATGGTCCCATGTGCTTTTGCAAGTGTATTTTGTAAAGCTTTGCTATTCAAAATTTCAACCTCCCTTTCATGCCATAACAGTTTCACTAAACTATTTGGAACTTTTGGAGATGATTTGGTGCATTGAGGAGAAACTTTGCACATTTTAGCTTGT